TCACAGCTATATCGATGGGAGTTGTGGAGACAAAGTGAACCTACCAGTCGGCGAGGTCCGCCATATGAAATAGCTTTCCGCTTTCTCAGCTCTTTTATTTAATGCCCACTTTAAGAAAAAGATAAGTTGCCACTCTGTAGCGGCCGCCATTTCCCATATGTAGAAAATCAACCGGTACTGTAGCGCACTGTCATCGTAATGTAAAGATGTGTGCATAATTTTGAACACATTCGCAAATTCAAAAGGGGCCTGAAGTGTCGGCTGACAGCTGCCATATCAAGGAAGCAAGTTAAATAAAAATAAACCTTTTTGCCATACAAAGGGTTATTATATTTTATAAGAAAGAATATTGGAGATTCGGGATCCGAAATATTTGGCTGTTCGAACCAAACTTCTGGCAACGATTTGTTATCACCAAATAACAATATTCGACGATTTTTATCAAGAAGTATTGAATGTTACAATGTTTTCTCCGGCAACACATCCCAAGTGATCGTAAAGGAGTTCCGATCGCCGAGCTCCGAACAGCGTTCGTTATTCAATCAAAACACATTGATCTACGGGTTGAGTGATTAAAAGCAGACATCGCACAGATGCGTACTTAAATCGATTCAGAAAACTATTGTGCATGTATTTTAAATCCTTCAGAATGTTAGACAAAGATTCGCTCAAACTTAATACACTACTCTGTGTAAGGTATAAAAATGCATTTGTTTTACGATAATTTTTCTTTTTCTAATAATATACTCATATAGAATAATTAAAGAATAGAAGAAGAAAGACTGAGGTTGTGAGATTGGCAGGCGCTTTAGAGATACCCACAACGAATATATTAACTCCATGCGCCAGCCAGCAGATCTTGACCGCACAGATCATCTGCACCAACTTTCTGACCATTGCTATGCTATGTCTAGATAACAAAAAAGCAAAAATAAATAAAAAATTAAGCCTATTGAAGAAGTATATGAATAGATAAGCAGTCACTGATGATGTTACATAGCATGAAACACATTTAGTATACCTCTTGAAATTATTTGCATTCTTCTCAACTTGACGGCTGGTTTTGATGTTACGATTTGTCTTACAACGAAACAAAATTCACATAATTAAAAATTTTTTCATTCTTTTGTTTTTTTTTTTTTCTTCTTTTGCTTTATTTCATTTGGTAAAACAGGTTAAATAGAACCATGAGAAGAATTTAATTAATTATAACGCGTCACGTATCCACGATGAAAAGACGACCTAACAAGAACACTTTTCGTAGATCGATAGATATCGTTGATATCGAGAGTAAGTTTGTCGAGTATCAGAGTTCGCCGTAAAGCAAGTATAGCTTTATCAACTTTCTTGCTTACCTCTAATCCGGCCACGCGGCCGGAACTGGCTCGCTTTCGAACTTTGAATATTTGAACAATTTTTTGAATAATTTTTTGATTATTTCGCATCGCGTTTGGATATATGTAGAGAATTGAAACAATAAGGTTTCAATTTTAAGGGTCCCAAGGTGGTAAGACATGATTGCAATGAAATGCATTCAAGTGGTTAAAAATTAATTATATTATTATCCACACGACCAATGACGTACAGTCCTCTAAAACTATAGATGAATGCCGAGACAACTTAGATACATTTGACGCTTTCCCAGCCGGTCGATGCAAACGCTTTGCATCTGGCTTTTCTTTAATATCTTTGGCATTAAAAATTGATGATAGAAGTCTGATACTCAAGGAAAATAAATTCTTTAAATAAAGAAACGAAGCTTGAAAGCGTCCTCTACGAATGAAGAGGTTAAGACGAAACTTTGTTTTACCTATGAACTTGCAATTAATTCTTGGAATGCGGAAAAGCTTCGAAAAGAAAGTATTCCTCTATATATTCGACCGTGGCCGAGTCGCTCGTACGCTAGAAAAAAAATTTCAAAATTTAAGTCTTTGTAATATTAGATGGGCGTGGCGTACCATTTTTTTCCATTTTTGTGCAAATACTGTAGGACAATGCATAGGATGATGTTTGTAGCTTATGTGTGATAAGCGAAAAACTCAATTTTGAAAATAAATTCGAATGTCCGCTGCAGACATTACATAAATGGGCCGACGGCCATGCACCGATCGATTCAGAATTTGATAGTAAACGAAACGATTTTTACGGTTGCTGAACCTTTCTTCTGCATGTTACACACTTTGTGCCAAAACGAACATAAACCTAACTGCCGATGATGGGCACACAAGTGTGTCTGCAAAAAGAAAAGTACAAACAATTACCTGTAAATTTAACAATAACTATATAAGTTTTAGTATTCTGCTTTGAAATGTAGGCGATTGGAAAACGGGTAAACGGGTACAACTTGGATTCATTCGAGGAGACGAAAAGGCGAAGGTTGAACACTTAAGGCGACCAATTGAAGTATACGTGAACAGCCTGAGAAGAAATGGAAAATAGTCCGCGAATCTAAACGGTTGCTAGGCTTCTCAAAAAAAAAAAAAAATAAAAAAGAAGACCGATATAAAAGGAATATGACTTAAGCGTAAAACGGAAGTCTTGCAGTTTAGTGCAATAAACTTGGCTGTGCTTTGACTATTAAAATTTTAATGAAAACCAAAAACTCATTGAAGGAGCCCCTTGGACGGGGAGAGGGGGGACTGAGAGTTAAAGATAAAAAGAGAAGATAAGAAAGGAAAGGGTGAAGAGGGAAGGTAGAGAGAGAAGAAGACAAGGAAAAGCACGAAAGAGAAATGAAGAGAGAAGAAGAGAAGAAGAGAAGAGAAAAGAAGAGAAGAGGAAAGAAGAGAAGAGAAGAGAAGAGAAGAGAAGAGAAAGGGAAAGGCAAAAATAACTCGAGAACAGAGACGAGAATTAGAAATGTGAAATACAGTACGATAGGCTTGCTCCGCGTGATATAAATCCGACTCGTTATACGAGGCACTTGAATTATACGAACCCAGCAAGGGATTAACGTTCCTGTTACACTTAAAATAACTTCTTTCATAAGCAGAGGTTCAAGACACGGCATAGGAATCATTTTTATGATCCTGGAATAATAAATTTTCACCTTTTTTTTTTCGTCTCAAAAGAGAGAAAAATGGATAGCCGTATTTATATTTTCTGTTTCACTCTTTTATCATGTGAGACAAATCTGTCTTATGCGAACACGTGCTATCGGAAAGTGCTCTGTGCTTATTCAACATGAGAATTCAACCCGATATTCTAAGGGGACGCAGCAGATTGATCAGAGCTAAGGGAAGCTAATTGTGGCAATTAAATAGCTTTAAAATCATTGCTCGCTGTGATGCACTGCACAAAGCTAAACAGTTTTAGTTGTTTTTTCTTATTGTGTTTCCACTTTTACATTTAGATAAAGATAAAGAAGAAGAAAAAGAAGAGGAAAAATATAATATTTATGTGAAATGTATCGATATATAGCTACCAAGAAATTCGATTCAAATCAGCTTTAACTTCTATCTTGGCTTTATTGATTCATTTTACAAATTAATGTTGTAATAATAGCTCTGTAGTAGGTGTTGCTTTAGGGCAACCCACGCTACGTGCACTAACTTTAAGTTGTGATCACATTTTTATAAGGCATTAAAAGCTTGTGGCAAACGAAACTTGTTTTATTTTATGCGAGTGCATAATAGAAACAAATTGTAAGCGGTGGGAAGATATTTGCTTACAAAACCTGAGACACATTATGATAACACAAAATCTCAGACCAGTTTATAAAGCAATGCAAACAAAATCGGATAATTTGAAGCAAAGTGTATCTAGCCCGATTCAATAGACGTAGAGGTTAATTGATTTCAAGCGTCAACGTAATGAGATAAATACCCCGATGTGTATGAATGAATGACGTGAGCATGAATAAATTTTGATTTCTCGACGGGGCGAATACTCTTGGAAATTTTCCTTATAAACAACGTAAGCAAGTAAACAAGTGAATAATAGAACAACCTTTGCCCTAAATAAACGCAGGCTACGAAATGCGTTTGATAATAAGCTCTTGAGTACACATTTAGATCGATTACTAGTACGTAGATAGTCAAGAAAATGTAGTCAACGCTATGATGGGAGGTGTTACGTATTTCCAAGCCCGCCAAGTTCAAAAGAACTCGAAACGGCTTAAAAACACCATTCATAGCATTTGCTTACATTTCTGTTGATTTCACGCTCACGCTTTTCATGCAAAACTGTATTCGATTTCTGCGTTCATTTTGTAAATTATATTATATTTGCTTCTATTATTCTTCTAATGTCATGCAATATATGTAAAAATACTTGTATATTTGTAAGTGAGGTGGCGGTAATATAAAGGTAGGAGAAGAACAATGCTATCGCTAATGGAACTTTCCCAGTGAACACTTGATCGGTCTATCAAAGTCAAACATCTGTGCATTGCATTGCATCAGATATAATGACAATTTTGTATAACTCGATCTTAAATCTAATCATTGGATTGCCGATGTGCAACATAACGTTTCTTTACTCACTCAAAAGACCTTTGCTACTAAAGCGTAGTTCGTACTGACGAAGAAGACAATTTTAAAGCGTTCTAAAGCAAATTGCTTCTACTCTTTGCATACATACGCATACGCAGAAAATGTATACATCGATGTTAGTGTGAAATCTTCAAGGTTTGATTTGACGACATGAACGCTTCTCTTTTTCTTTCGACTGAAGTGAACGTGAATGGAGAGTGTGTTTCCAAAAAGGTACTATGACCTTCTAAATAAACGATGATTTAATCCTTTAATCCTTTACACAGTAAACTTGATCGTTTTTTTACAGATATCAGGTTAGCTTTCAATAATATCTGTTCTACAGTTCTCTGTAGCACGTAACGCATCAAAACTTCATAAGAAAATTTTAATATTTACACTTTGTTTAATATATGATATGTAGCGTATGTATTTCATTCACTTTTCTTCTCTTGGCCACAAATATCTGTTTGTCATTACAAATATAAATTTAAATTACCTTACAGCTAATGTACTGAGCGTGCTTACCTTATAACTAATATCCTGAACATTCTCCAAACTAACATCGCTATACATGTCTTCGGTTGTATCACAGTTGGAACTACGGCCAGATGAGTTAAAACTCGATGATCTATAAAGTTGACTACAAAGACAATAAAAAAAAAAAAATAATTATAATAATAATAATAATAATAGATTTAAGCATACGCTATTTAAAAAAAAAAAAAAAAAAAAAAAAAATACTGTAATTTAAAATGAAAGGAAAAAATTCCATAAGTAAAATGTAAATACATGTAAAAATCTTGGTCAAAATGTTAACATTGCCTTTATATATGATAAAATGAAAGCGCAATATGAAACACTTCGAAAGGAGTAAGAGAATGGCATTTGACTTCGAATGTGTATTTGTTACCCGTGTCATCGCAAGGAAAGGCATTAACTTTTTAAAGTTTTTCCTCAAACGTGGCCGGGACAGTAGGTCAATCGAATTTTTTTCCCCACACTTCGACTTTGTACTATGCCCGTTGTTAACATTTGTAGCAAACTTAAAGTTAATATTAACTATATTTTGTCGGTTAAAGTGTTTCCTCTATATATGAACATCTCGCCAACGCTTTTATGTGTACTGTGTTAAATCCGATTGTAAACGTACTGTGAACTTTTTATAATACTGAGTCCCCCTAGAAGGCCATAAAAATGGAATCAAATGAGAAGAAGGTCATGAAGGAAAAGCGCTACGATTGAATATCCTACACACAGTCTCACTTAATTTACTCATATAGAGACTTTTCAAATGGGAAGTGATCGAAAAAGTGATCCGATCTGAATCTTTTGAATAGCGTCCGTGTTTGGGCCAAAGGAAATCATTGCACCAAATTTGATCAAAATATATCATAAATTGCGAGTTATAGATTGAACACAAGAATGCAAGACGAGCAGACGGACAGACAACCTTAGACCGATTCAGAAGGTGGTTCGAAATTGATCGCTGTAATGAGAAGACACATCTATCTTAAGTCCTTCGGGGTGTTGCAAGCATACGCACAAACTTAATACATCCTTGCATGCGACGTGGTGCAAAGAAAGAGAATGTGTGTGGAGTATGCATGCTCTTGTAAAACTTAATACTATGTTTGTAGTAATGTGTTCACATATATACATGAAAAGTCGAAATAAAATATGTATATTTAAGGCTCTTATCCTTGATTTTTTATAATTTCTATTAAAACTTTTGCCAAGGCTGCAAAGGCTTAGAATTGTCATAATTTTAAAAAGATTTCTTAAAGTACCCCTTTTCCTTACAGAGAACTTGTAGGAAACGTAGAAAAGCTTTCCACCCGTTTTCGCAAATTTAAAAAACTCCCAACTTCGCCTGAGTAGCCGAATAGGCAAGAGTCTCAACTAGCAACTCTCAGTGGTCGTGGGTTCAAATCTCAAGTGCGGTAGTTTTTTAAATAAAAGCCGAAAGCCTTAGATGCTAGTGCTTTAAGACTTTAGTCTTAGAATTTATTCTCTGGCTTAATTTATAATAATAATAATAATAATAATAATAATAATGAAAAACTCGCATATTTTCTTTTCTTTTACTTGAGAGATGGGAATAATAGGTGTCAATGATGGATGCTTCTTTGATTATATGACATTTTTTTTTATTGCTTTTTTTAAAGTACGCATCCAGGTTTACTGAACAATCTTAAAAAGCCAAGTCACACACCTATTCACTTTCAGCAATGCAATCGAAAGTAGCGAGTGCCACCTTGTGGGTGTGTGAATAAGTTAAATGGCTTTGTATTCTCTAAAGCCTATTGTGAATTACTATTTTAATTTAGCGAAGACACTCACTCAGTAAAACAGTGTCACTAATAACGAGCAAAGCTTTTTGAACTCCAAGAAGTAATGAAAATAAAAACAAATAGCATTGACAACTGAATTTCAATATATTCATTATATTATATATAATTTTTTTTTGTTTTTAAAAACTTGTTATCTATATATGTTATGCCTTTTTGTTCACAATTTGTCATATTTTTTATGCATAGAACCTAATTGCATAGCTTTACTACGTTACTACCAAGATGAGAAATAATTAAAAAAAAAAAAAAAGTTTTAGATAAACAAAGTTTTTTGACTTACCTGGCTAAGGCATTGGAGCCCAATTGCCGCCTGCCGGAACTGCAATAAAGAAATTTAAATTAACTTGCAATGTTTAATGACAACTTATTCTTAAAAATAACAAAGCCATCTAGATTGCCATCACCTCAGTTAGACACATGTTGTTTAATGCATTGATTGTTTTTTGATAAAATGTATATCGGAACGTGATTATAAGAACAAGTTAATTTACAGTAAACGCATTGTTTTGTGACGCTTGTGGTTAACGCGTAACAGCAAAAATATGCAAAATTAGAAGAAGAATTCGAATAAAATTAACAGCCATGCCATCTCCAGGTGATGTTTAAAAAAAAATATCAATTCCTGTTTTGATGGCAATTTTAATAAAAATGCGTATTGTAAGTAATCAAGTATAAAATATGAAAGCATTTCTGCATGCGCTATATGCAGTGACTAAACAACAACTATATAAATATTTAAATCGTCGTAAATGAAAAATAGATAGTTAGTTAGTTATACGAGAATATGAGGCACAAAAATTTTCTTTTAATTTTCTCTCACATATATGCTTTAATATTATGTGAATAAACCCAGAATTCGTTGGGCTGTGAAGATAGCCAAACAGACAAACAGTTCGCGGAAGTGAACTGAATCCACCAAACAACCCCTGATCCCCTAAACAAACACCAACGTCGCAAATATTTGAAGAATTCGTGTTAAGGAATTTATCAAAATTTCCCTTAATCTGTGAGAATATAAATCGCTCTTGTTTCCATCCGCCTCTGGCGTTTCTCCTTCAAATTAGTTGACAAATTTTTGCCTGTGGTTAGTCAAATATTCTCAATCCTAAAACATAATTCACTTATGCGTCGTATATAAAGGAGAAGGGAGTTATGCGACGACGTCACAGCAGTTTTCCTTGGATATGAGATCATCGACAACAACTATTTAGCTTATTATTAAGTAGACTATTGAAGTGCTTTAAACTTGAAATGTTGATTTCGAAGTTTCGATCTTGCCGGAATCCGCTAAATTTTCAGAATATCGCTTATATTTTTTATATTATTTGAACACGGTGCTGCACACTGACGCGCGCGTACAGCCACCAATCAGTAAATAGTTTCTGATCGCTTATTGATGCTTGAGTAACGGCGACTGCTTAACATTAGCCGCTTGCTTTATCTGCAAACATGTGACGCTCGATGAATGCCCGCCTCCGCTAGAAGTAGAAGCATTTAATTTAAGTCCCATAGCGACCCGCAAGCTGGCGTTTGTTAAAACTTTGCTTTGAATGTTGAGTAAGTTATTCTGTCCCTTACGCTGTCAATTGACAAAGTTCAACAACGACGTTTTGATTGAAGAAACAGCTTTAAAGAACAGGTTCTTGTCATAAGGTAAATAACGTTTTATATACATATTTATCTTATTATTTATGTCAACGCCTCCTCCACATATTTATATATGTATATTTGATTGCGACATTTCTCTATTTTTTAATTTTTTGTTATGCACAACATACAATATATGTATCAATAATTCCCGGGACAAATAAAACTGAAGCTTCTCGAAAAAAGTTCATATTATTTTTAAATCGAATAGATAGATAGATAGACTGATCGTCTAATGACGTCTGTTTGAATTTTATGTCACTTCAACTTCAGTGTCAGTGACACTTTTTCACTTTTATTACATTATTTAAAGCGATGGCAGCGGCCGAAATTTGTGTGTTGACCAAACATTGATTTTTAATAGAGAAAAAGTGATGTTCAAACTCAGTACTGGCTCTCTCGACGACATTAACGCTTGAAGGAGATGGACAGCAAAAAATATAAATTGAGAAAGATGTTTGACGTCGCACAGCAACAGTGCAACCAATGTATTCTTTATTTTGCAAGAAAATCTCCAGTCAGTGGTCGTAATGGTGAACATGAATATGAACTGAAATTCGCAATTCTGCCCTCTGTCCACCTCCACACCCATTAGCTGTTTACTCTAACAAAAAATATGCAGGAAAAGATGAAATCAAGGCGGAAGCTGAAGCGCCTTTTAAGAATCGCAGCCAGTCGCGTTCTATAAGACAAGACATCGAAATACATGCGGAATCAAATCCGAAAAATGCTTTTTCTTACCTCATACCGGAATTTATTGCATTTGCACAAAGTATGACGGTCGCGTCATTTCTCTATCCTTCCAAAACTATTCAGGCGCAAGACTTTTTGTATTTAATTCTGATTTTGATGCAATACCTGCAATTACCAAAGGAGGGGGCATTTCGATGAAAAACGAAAATTTTGCGAACATATCGTTAGCCAACGAATCATCGGGAATCAAAAAGAAACGTGAAAAAAAGTGAAATTTACGACTTTTATACGAACTAAGCCAATATTAGCTGCTATTTGGAGAGGTAATAAAAGCATGAGCGCACACGGTTGTGTTCGCTGACGAATAACAAGAATAACGGAAATTTCGATTGTTACCCTAAAAATGGAAGCTTCATCCCTCGACGATTATGTGTAACACATTTGCTAATTGACAATCGACGGCCAGAACGAACTCCTCTCGTGTTCGTCAAGTACACAAACGTGGAACTCGTCAAAAAGGTTCAATATTTGCCGCGAAGCTAGTTGGAGAGTCTCGAGACCTACAAAGCGTATAAAGCGAAGAAGAAGGATCTATACGTCCTAGTATTAGGACATCTCGATATTATCAACTTTCATGTCAAGACGTGACATTTCGGATCTAACTTGCCACAAAAGCTATTGCAGGCAAAGGTATTAGTATCCAGTGACTTTACACGTGATCGCGAAAGCTTTTGACTAATAGTCGCTATATCGAAGATCCAAAGCGAAACAAGCGATACAATCACTAACAAACTGATCAATTTCACGCGCGATAGTTCAATTGAAATACCGGATTCTGGAGCTTATAAGGGAAAATCCTATAAGATCGCACTGCTGCTTCAGCTTTGTTCTCTCTTCGAACTTGAAGAAAAACAACAGCAACAAATAGTCGTTTTTTTTTTTTTTTTTTTTGATTTATGAGCTTTTCCTATATATCTTATGCGCGATGATTCTTTCATCAATTAAATCGATATAACAGTTAGTTTGAAAAAAGAAAACAAACGTACGGCACGACTCAAAGGTATTATTTTGTGACAGAATGCAACTCAACAGTGTTCCTTACGAAGACCTCGTAGCTCAGCGATTTATTCAGCTTATTGTTCTCTCACATTATTTGAGCCGTTCTCATCAAAGCCAAGGTTGCTTTCCCAAGCCATACTATGCTATGTAGATATAATTAGGTGACCGATAACTTTATGCCAAATTCCGTTTTCGTCTCGAGGAATGGAGTGAGTCATGACTGAGACCGATTTGATTTGATTAGAAAAAAGAAAAACTTCTTGCATAAGAAACGCAGAATAGAATAGAATATGTTTTGATATTTTAAATATATATTTATATATATATATATATATATATATATATCTTGTTTTAAACAACATCCAAACACTTTAAGAGACATCGTCGAACAATGGCTGTGTTGCACCAAAAATTATATAAAAATTATATAAAAATGCTCAACAACAATGAACTGCGCGTACATCCAGAGGACGGGAATTTAATAAATAATAATATTTGTGATCGTGTGCACAGCATGAGTTTCTTTGCTTTTACTTTGCATTTTGTTATTGTTGTTCTCTTAACAGATTTCATCGTTTTTGAACTCTAATATATATAATAACGGTTATTAATTCACCTTTGTTGCATTATTGTTGCTATTATGTTAAGATAATGAACGCATGTCTTCCCCATTACTATCTATCGCAATATGATTTCTCCCCGCCTACTGTTTTTCTTTTTCTTCGTTTTGTAAAACTTTTCTTTCCACATCGTGAACGATGTGAATATAAAAACCATAGAAATATAATCTCGAAACTTGACGCAGAAATGTTTTCTAAGATAAAACGTTTTCTTTTTTTTCTCTATTGTTGTTGTAACTGTTTTTGTTCTTCATCTTCTTCTTCTTCTTCTTTTTACACATCAGATATTAAATGTTTCATGAACGGTTGTCGTAGTTTCACATCTCGGTTAACAAATGCTGCTAAACTGTTAAGCAAAACGAGTTAATACAACAACAACAACAACAACAACAACAAGCGAGAACGCTAAGACCAAATTACAGATAATTCATTTAATTATAAAGTATTTGACAACAAAATCATTCAACCCAAATTTATACATACATTGCAGCTCATAACTAGAGAACTCCAAAGCGATAAGTAGAAGAGTAAGAGAGAAAAGGGACAAAAAATGTACATCGTGTACATCGGAAATAAGGGCACGTTTGCGACTCAAGTCTTTACAGTCGGTTAATAAAAAAGCTAAATTCCCTTTAGGTTTTATAAAAAGATGGTCTAACGAACTCAATGATCCGATACGTTACGAAGTGCTTGTAAGGCTTGTCGATCAACTCTTGAAGTTTGACGTCCTAGCTATAGATGCCATGCTGATCCCTTGGAGTCTGTTCCACTGGACTTCTTGATGAGATTTGCAATTGCATTCCACGCTACCTTTTCCACCGTATATTAATTCGACTGAAACCCATTGACTTGCCTAGCCTTGAAAAAATCCATGAAATATTCCGTGTAATCTTCGTCTTTAAGCTAATAAAAGGAGAGGTGTTTTTCGCCGGCTTCACTAGAACCTATTAACATTCACATCCCTGGTAAGGTCTGAAGATACTTTGTGCTCCTCCAGCTAGCACCATGCTGAACCAATTATGAGTTGTTCAATCCGTTCGTGGTAATGTGTAAAATGTTCAACGATCATTACCACTTATTTGATTTATCCGTATTGCCTGAATCCGTATTGGTCTGAAATTTGCTGCTGTGCCATAGCACATAAGGTAGCTTCACTTGGCAGACAACTTGGGAGACAAAGATCATACGACTGCTTCTTTGTATAAGCGAAAGCCGATCAAGCCAACACATGAAAGCAACGGTATCGCGTCAAACGATTTCAAAGGTTTTTGGTTATATCATACGTGCTGTCGTCGAAACG